GCATAAATCATGAGACACTAGAAAAATATGGCAGAAACTCAGGAAAGCATTAACTGAAAAAAAAAAAAAATGCAATCTGTCTCTTTGATGCTCCAAAGCTTACACCTCTCAATAGCATTCATAAGAAGGCACATATTGCTGTTTCAAACTTACAGAAGTTGTTGTCAAAGAGTTTAAATCAGTTTTGTTTTTCTGTATTCAAGATTGAATCCAGGGCATTTGAAATAGGCTATATCCCCAGTTCTCTGCTAATTTTTTTCAATTTTGAGACTTGGTCTTGGTAATTAGTCTAGGATGCACTTGAACTTGTGATCCTCCTCTGCCTCAGCCTCTTTCTCAGAGTGCTGAAACTACAGGCAGGCATCCCTACTCCCAGAAAGTCAAGTCACCAAGTCTGACAATTTTGTGATTTTCCCAAACTTAACCTCTTCCCCGAAGCTGACACTGCCTCTTTCAGAACACAGGTGACAAAAACTAAACAAAAACCGAAAACACACACACACATACACAGCCACAATTAACTACTGAAATCAACATAGGCTGTTGCATGAATGATGAGGTTAAAAAGTTACATCAGTTTGAGTGCAATGGCATGTGCTAGTAAATTCAAACTACTTGGGAGGATGAGGAAGAACAGCAAATTTGAGGCTAACTGAGGCAAATTAATGAGACTCTGTCTTAAAATTAGAAGGATAAGATGCAGTTTAGCGGTACAGTGCTTGTAGTACTGGTGAAGCCTTAGATTCAATCCTCAGTACAAAAAAAGAAAAAGAAAAAACATCCATTAACTAAAAAATCTTGAACAAGCTTAAATTCCCTGTGTTGCCAGGCATGGTGGCTCACAGCTGTAATCCTAGCACCACTCACGAGGCTGAGGCAAGAGGATCACCATGAATTCGAGCCCAGCATAGGCCACACAGTTCAAGGCTAGCCTGAACTACATAGTGAGACACCCTGTCTCAAAAAATCAAAAACAATCCCCTGAGCCTTGTGGTTTCCTTACATCTAAATGAATACATATATTTCAAAGAGATATTGTGAAGATGTACATACATGTATACACGCAAAAACATCTAATGGGTCTGACACAGTAAATATCACACATGTGTATATATCCTTATATTAATAATAGATATCACTACTAGCATGTAGCTTTCTGTAGTTAAAACTAATTTTGCTGGGGTTTCTCCAGAAAAATGCACATAAGTGAGCATTTTTTAGTTTGTTCTTTTGGGCTTTCTTTTTTCTTGAGACAGGGTCTCACTATGTAGTGCAGACCTACCTTTAAATCACTTATATACCCCACACTGATCTCCTACTCACAGCAATCTTCCTGCCTCAGTATCTGTGGGCTGGGACTGCAGGTGTGTGTCACTATGCCCTGCTTGTTCTGTTCTTTGAGACACATTTGGCTATGTAATTTAGGCTGGCCTTAAATAAGCAATTGATCTTCCTGCCTCAGCCTCTCAAGTGCTGGGATTTCAGGCATGTGCCACCACACTCAGCAGAGCTAGTGATTTTAACAACTACTGAGGAGTCACAGATCTTAGATAACCTTACCAAAGATGACCTATACCAACCTGGTTTAGCAAACTGTTGTTTTTTTATAATCTTTTTGAGATAAGAGTCTCACTGTGCAGTTCAGGCTGGTTAACGAACTTTGTAGCCAAGGCCAGCCTCAAACTTGCAGCAATCCTTCTGCTTTAGCCTAAGTGCTGGGATTACAGGTATGTACCACCACATCCGGCAATAAAGTGATTCTTAACTTAGTTTGTGCCACAGATCACTTTAGTTCAATTAATCTATGGATAATGCTCTCAAAAAATTTAAAAATAGTATATGGACTCTATAGGACAGCAATTACATAAGAAGTCATCAAAATATTTAAAAATTTGCAGTATGCTAGTAAATGTGCTTTATAATGCATTTCACATTTTTAAGTAACAGTTTGTTAGTGGTATTTCAAAATATCTGCAAAATCTGAAATACAATATTAAAATAAGTGATTTCACTGGGCATAGTGGCTCATGCCTGTAATCCCAGCACTCCCGAGAGGCTGAGGCAGGAGAACTGCTGCAACTTCAAGGCCAGCCCAAATTGAATACACTGTCTCAAAAAGACAAAAAAAGGGGGGAGGGTGACAAAGTCACAAACCTGTTGCCTCCACTGAAATTTAAAGAATTTTCAAATCTTTTCTATCTAGATTCCAGTTAGAAGCTAGGGAAAATAAGTTGGCAAATTTTTGTCTTTAACCAAATGCAAGTAGTTCTTCAATTCTACCAAGAACACTGAAGAAGAAATGCAAGTAGTTCTTCAATTCTACCAAGAACACTGATGAAGAATCTGTGCCTCAGGTAAAAGTGGAAAAAAATAGGTTTTGGAGCCATAGACTTCGGTTCTAAAAGCCAGACTTCAGACTTTAGTCCCTACATTATTTACATTTCAATGACTTTAAACATCTGAGCTTTGCTTCCCGAATCATTTAGAATAATTCTTATATCTTGAGGTCAAAGAACTAAATATTAGTTAACAAAATGCCAAATGACCAATGTGTTGTTTCCAAGAGATTTTAATATTATATATTAATCCCCCCGAACATTTAATAATTGCTTATTTTTAATAAAACTCATGAGAAAAAGAAAGATGTGCTGATTCACAAAGAAATAACTACTGGGAATACTAAGTTTACATATAAATTTAGTGAAATGTGGTAGTTTGTTCCAACTGAGAATACTCATTTAACATTAAAATGATTTGATCTAAATCCCTGTCGCAAAATATTGTTTCTTTTAACCTGCTGGCCCCAGTTTCCTCACCTGTAAAACAAAGCAATGTTGATTTGGGGACAGAATCCAGTTTTAAACACTCAACAAATATACCTATTACTAAAATTCTAATATTAATAAAACTCTAGGAATCAACTTGAAACTCTATTTTGGAATTCACATCAACATAATTGGAACTTAGGTTTGTTTTGCCTTTGCAAATCAAATCATAACTACACTTAAAATCTGTAGTAACTCGTAACATTCCTAACACAAAGCAGGCTTGCTTAAAAATCAAATCTGAAAAAAAGAAAAAAAAATCAAATCTGATTTCTTAATTCTGCCAAAGGAAAACAACATGGGTTTAAAAAACAAAGAACAGGGGGCTGGGGATTTAGCTCAGCGGCATAAGAGCCTGCCTTGCAAGCAGGCAGGCATGAGTTCGATCCCCGGTACCGGTAAAAACGAGAAAAAAAAAAAAAAAAACCCAGAAAGAATGAGTTAGCTAAAATTTGGAGCTTTTTAAAATTTTTTAATCGGTACTGGGGATCAAACTCACGACCGCCTGCTTGCAAGGCCGGTGCTTATGCTGCTGAGCTAAATCCCCAGCCCCAAATTTTGGAGCTTTTTAAAGATAAGAGTCTCACTATGTAGGGCAGGCTGGCCTCAAACTCAGAGATCTTCCTGCCTCAACCTCCTTCCAAGTGCTGGGATTATAGGCATGTGTTGCCACCATGTCCTGTGAGTTAGGTAATTTAAAATTTTTAAATGATTTGCTTGGAATATCCCAACGAGTATTTATCATTAATGTTGGATATACTACAAGGTAGCAACGTCTTTTTAAAGCCTAACTTTATAAACCACAGGATATCAGATTAAGGTTAAAAAAAAAACTTTTGGTGCTCGCCTATAATCCCAGCATTTGAGAGGCTGAGGCAGGACTGTGGTTGAGTTTGAGGCCAGCCTGGGCTACATAGTGAGTTTAAAGTCAGCCTGAGTGATACATAGGGAGGCCCTGTCTCAAACTCTTCCACTCAAAAAATAAAGTAAAAATTAAATCACGTATTTACTTTATGTGCGTGTCCCATCGTCCCTGAAAAACACCCGCCACAGGCTGGCCCCAGGTCCACTATATAACATGTAAATTTCTTCCCTCATTGAAAAGGTATGTTTTCACGAACAGTTTAACAAACGTCAAGTCGCAAAGTTGCAGCTTCGCTGGCTTCACGTTTTCACAATGTAGGAATAATATGATCTGGAATCTGCTCAGCGTGTTAGCCAGGCAGTCAGCTGATGCTCAATGCACACGACAGATGGACAGAAATAAGAGAAATTAAGCTTGGTATTTGTGTAAGGCAGGTATCATTACCTTGAAACCTAAAATAGGCCAAAGGTAGACGTCACAGTCATACGTATTAAAAGTATTCCTGTTGTTCAAGTAACAATGAAAAAAAGAAAAGCAAGAAAGAAAAAAGGGGAGAAGAGAAAGAGAAAGGCTTTCCCTAGACTACGTTTCTCTCATTCCTGGAATTTTCCTTCTAAAGTGCCTTTTAATCGGTTCGCAGAACCAATCCGCATCACGCAGCTGCTGCCCGAGTAACTTTTACAAAAGGTCAAAGCGGTGCCTTTCAAGGCTCCAACCCCTATTGGTTTCTCCTGTGTTCACATTAACTTGCTCTCACCCACAGAACGTTCCAGAGACCCACCGATAAGGACCGAACAAAATCTGGCGGAGGTTTCGAAAAGATTTCCACTTTCCTTAGGAAAACACTTAAACAAAAAGGGCACGCCAGCCGCATTTCACCCACTCCCTCCGGTCCCACATGTTGCTCCTTTCTCCCACAGCCCCTCCCCCCCGCCTGGCGTCGCCCCAGCATGCGCCCACCTGATTCCCCTTTTCTCCCGCAGACTCCTCCCCCGCACCCCCTCATGAGGTCCATATGGGACACTTTCCCTCTCCTCAGATCCTCATTCCCCAAAAGACCATCCCTCCGTCCTCTACCTTCCAGGCACTTTCGCCTTGGGCTTCACCCCCACAGCTTCCCTCAGAGCTTCCTAAAGTGTTGGGAACGCGTAGAGTGGAGCTGCAGGCCTGCATGGCCCAGGTGCTGTGTCAGCCTATCTGCCGGTTCCGCGGCGTGTACGGCCTGGAAAGTCACATGGCGGTGGGACCGGCCGGCGTCTCCACACTCCATCTCTCCCAAAAAGCAGCACCAGAGTACCAAACCCACTTACCTCCACGAAGAGCAACATGTTTCCCTCCGCTCGGCCCAATCGTTCCCGCCGCCGCGACTCCAACTGGTTCACAGGCCCGAGCCACAATCGCTAGGATAAGGACACTCACTTTGCCCCTCCACCCGGCAGTGGATGCGGCTCCACCCCCGCCGTCAGCCGCTGCAGCCAGACCAGCCCAGTCTCGCCTCCCTTGAAACAGCAACTGCTTCCGGGTCTGGAGAAAAATTACTTCCGGGAGAAGAGAAATTCCCCGGCAAGCTCAATATTTGCACCAGCTTTTCCAGGGGCAGCATGGAATGTACCATTGTGTGCGAGGCGTGGGAGGAGACTCTCAGAAGGAGATACCACTCTGAACCACAGGGTTGTGTAAAAAAAAAAAATCTGACACATTTTATCATTTGCCAAAGAGGTGGCCACGACAGCCCTGTTAATTTTGCGGTTTTAATAGTTCCAAATGTAGATCTGGGTAAAAACCTCTCTGTGCATAGTATATTAAAGTGTTTGCCCAACTCTGCTGAAAACGTGGTGGTTTATGGAAAAAAATAGAAGAGGAAAAAACAAAACAAAAACCTGTGGTAAAGCTGTTAGTACCGCTACAAAGCATTTTGCGTGAGTTAATCTTGAAACACCCCTATACATAAATCCTATTATTCCCCATTTTACAGTGGAGGTAGCCCTTTAGGTGGATAGGTTGTATTTCGTTTCTTTTTTACCAGAGGTTGAACTCAGGACCTCGCTTTTACTAAGCAGGCACTTAAGCAGCTGAGCTAAACCCCCGCCCTTGTGTGTTTTTTTGAGACCGGGTTTCACTCTGCAGTTCAGTCTGGCCTTGAACTCACTATAACGCTGGTTTGGCTTCCAGCTCTCAGTAAATCCTACTGCCTCAGCCCCCTGAGTGCTGGGATTACAAACGTGTGTTGTTACCACACCTAGCACTGGGTTTTAGACCTTTATTGCACAGAGCTTACTTGAAACAAATCTCCTAATTAATATAAAGCTACTCCACATCTCCGTTTAATATGTTAATATTTAGTCTAGGAAAGCTGTTTCATTGATGTTCTCATATTAAAACAAGATACGAAAAATTACCCTAGTTCACATAATCATCTTTTGAAATAATATGTTAAATGTTTTCCAACGAATATTTTTCCATTCGTTATTTTTTTAAACTCTCCTAAAATGAAACTTTCCAGCAAGCTGCTGTTGTTTTCAAGACTTTCCCATTCTGACCCGATGTAGTCTTCCTTACTTTACATCAGAGAAAATTCCTCACTTTTTCAAGTGGATACCAAATTCATCCTGCCATCAAATTGCTCCTGTGGGCATCCCAGACCTTCCCTCATCTAATCCCCAGTAAAACTCTCATTACTTTGTCTCAGTGATTAAACCAATCTGCACTCCCTAAGATACAAATTTCTAAGTACTTACCTCCAAAGCCATGGCTTCAAGGTAGGTATCTTTCCTATCTGAAGCGCCTTCATGTGTTAATCAACCATCTCTCTCCATAGGGATTTCCCGACAAAGATTTTTGTCCCCCACAGATCTCTTCATGTCCCGCGTTAGCACTTACTATATTTTAATTTGTTTTCTTTTCAGTGTCTTTTTCAGGAACCCCTATTAGATATTCTTCTTGGTTTAGGATAATAGTGTTGCAATGAATGCTGGTTGAATTCAGTGATTAGCAGGATTTTAAAATTTGTTTTCAAATACTTTCATTTCCCGTTGCTGATGAATTCCATGCTGCATGACAAATACAATAAATACAACAAATACAGTAAGTACAATAAATTTAAAAGTTAAATAACAAAAAAATTAAAAATACAGTGAGAGCAATAGTGCTAAAATAGTCAATAAGCATTTAGGCTGTTTTGTAAATTCCTAAGCAAGAAAAGAAATAAAAGGTACAGTATGTAAGGCCTTCATTATTTATTTATTTAATTTTTGGGGGGAAATGGTACAGGACTTGAATTCAGGACCTCACATTTGTCAGGCAGACACTGAGGTAAAACCCTGGACCCAGATCATCATAACTTAATGGTATCAGCAAAGTACTTAGGTGAATTCATAATTCTAAAAAGCAACATATAATAAAGAATATTTTTAATCAGACTTCACATTTATAAAAATAAATAATTCTCCTGAATTGTTCAGTCCTTTCATTTTTGAAACTGGGTCTCGCTGCATAGTTCAGGCTGGTCTTAAACTCACTATGTAACCCAGGCTGGCCTCCAGCTCACTGCAATTGATCATCCTGCTTCAGGCTCTGGAGTGCTAGAATTACAGGCATTTGTCGCCATGCTGGGGATGTTCAATTCTTTCAATAAAAATATGAATTTCACACACCTATAATTCCAACGCTCTGGAGGCTGAGGCTGAAAGATTGAGTGAGTTTATGGCCAGCCTGAGCTACATAGTGAGTTCAAGATACTAGCCAGAACTAGCCAGAACTAGATAGCAAGTGTGTGTCTCAAAAGAAAAAAGTAAAAGAAAGAAAGAAAGAAAGAAAGAGCATGCAAACTTCATACAGAAAATAGACGTGATTTATAGGAAAGTAAAGGAGATTTATGACTGTAGGAGTTGAGAGTAAGATTGGTTTAACAATCAGAACGAAGCAACTGTGGCTTAGAAAATTTTCTGGAAGGAGAGGGAGATTATGAAACTCATAATTGATCTCTTCATTGTAGCCAGTTTCTCTGAAAGCACTGATGAAGAATAAGCTAATGTGTGAAACACAAAAACACAATGTAGCATCTAGTTTTGAGAAATTCACCAGCTAGTGGACAGAGATAAATAATCGTTACACTTCAATGAGATGAGTACTGAATAGCTTACAAAGTGCTTTGGAAACATAGAAGGAATTAGACAATGACTTTTTTTTTCTTTTTCCTTTTTATCTGTACCGGGGATCGAACTCACGACTCCCTGTTTTCAAGGCAGGAGCTTATGCCGCTGAGCTAAATCCCCACCCCCGACAATGACATTTTAAAAGAGGAAATATTTAATTGGCTACTATCTTTTTTTTTTTTTTTTTTTTTTGTCTTTTTTCCTTTTTATCTGTACCGGAGATCAAACTCACAACTGCCTGCTTTCAAGGCAGGCACTTATGCCACTGAGCTAAATCCCCAGCCCCTTTTGCTACCATTTTTAAGAGACAACAGAACAGTTATATTGTTTTTACAATTTATGAAACATAAATTTAAATTTACTAGGACTCATTATAGAACTAATATTACAATCAATTTACAAATACTCAAATTGAGTGTGATAATGTAGCCTGTAATCCCAGCTCTCCAGAGACTGAGGTAGGAGACTCCTTTTGAGTTCAAGGCTCCCCTACACTACAAATGAGGTCCTATTTCAAATAACAAAAACAAAAACAAAACGCTAAGACTCAACATAGAAAGTTTTTGTAAAAGAAACTTAACATTCACAATTTGTATAATATTTGAAAGTGATACCATGGGGATATAGCTCAGAGGCGCAGCACCTGCCTGGCAAGCATGAGGTCCTGAGTTCGATTCCCAACATCAAAACAAAAATGATACCATATAACATGCCATTTATGAATACATATAAGCATAGTGTTTAATTTATTGATATATATATATAAGCTCAGTAAAACTATGAAAATAGACCAGGCACATAGAGTTCAAATTCATGATTGTCATTGTGGGATGAGACAGAGGCAAAGGAAAGAATCCGGAGGATAACAAAAGTGTTGTCTAATGTTTTTCTCTAATGTTTCTTTTATGAAGCAAAATTTCAAGAAAATAAATGAAAGAAAAAGCTAAAAAATTATCTGATGCAAACATGACAAATGTTAATATCTGCTAATTCAAGATGAGCACATAGCCATTTGTTACACGTATCACTTTCTGTACATTTTGTTTTGTTTTGCCTTGTTTCTTGAGAGTAGGGCTTGTTATATATAGCACAGGCTGGCCTTGAACTCATGGAAATTCTCCTGCCTCAGCCTCCCAAGTGCTAGAGTTCAAAGCATGTGCCCCCACACTTTTTTCATATTTTTTAATTAAAAAGTAACACAGCCAACAAAACCATACAGTCTTTTAATTGCTCCTTCTCCTAAATCCTTTCATCATCTCTGCAAGGAGCCCAGCACACTCCTCAAGTAGAAAGACTTCTAACATTTCTTTACATTTTTTTGAACCATGTATCAAGTTTTAAAGTCTTCTTCCATCAAATTCCTTTAAAAAATGAGTAAAAAAAGTAGTGCAAAGAGGGTAATATTTATCTAAATACCTTCCAAATTACTACATATGTAGGAAAATCTCAGGGACAACTTAATGTTCTACTATTACAAGCTTTAAAATATTTAAGGAAACCCTACAAAGTGCCAGGTATAGAGCTCAGCGGCACAGTGCCTGCCTGGTAAGCGTGAGATCCTGAGTTTGATTTCTGGTACCAGAAAAGAAAACCCTAGAAAGAGGAGTCAAGAATTACATTTGATACCACAGACCTTGAACTCCACACCTGTGTTTTAAATTCACATAAGCAAGGCCATGTCTTCTATGTCTTTTAACATTCCTGTTGTCTGTTGTTCCCTCCCTCCTGCCCCCTTCCCCCTGCTACCATCATGGCACATGGAATGCCTCGTTCTCTGCATACGTTAAGCACTCTTGAAACATTCGAGTCAATGAAAATGTCACAGCGGATCTCTTATGACATCAGCAGGACTAGAACACCATGGCGAGTGAGCAGTCGGCAGCAGAGTGCTCAGACGCAACCTCTGGAAGCAGCCTTCTGGCTTCCTAGTAGCGTTTGCCTGTATTCTGTGGGAAACAAGTAAAAGAAAATCGCTCAAAATGTTTGCCCGAAAGCAAAGTGAGATAGGCAATGACTCTGAAGCAGAAAAAGAAGTCGGGAATTCCAGCATCACAAAAAGATGGTCCAAACCTTCGTTTGATCTTTCAACGGGCCCGAAACTTGAAATCCCATTCTCCGTACAGGCAGTCATCTCTCGGATTCAGCAAGCTCAGCTCCTTCGCGCCAGACAGGTAGGTCACGAATCAGAAGTTCGCAGATGATAGGGTTTTGTTTGTTTTGCTTGGTTTTGAGACAGGGTCTCGCTATGAACTCGGGGTGGCCTTGAACTCACTGTGTAGCCCAGGTTGGCCTGGACTGAACTCATTGTTAATCTTCTTGGGTATGTGCCAGCACACCTGGCACAAGCCTTTTTTTTAAAAAACTTTTTCTCTTTTAGAATGCATGTTATGTTCATGTTATTTACCTGTATTTGAAATAACTGTGAATTCAAATGACAATTTCATCTCACTTGATATTAATCTCTTCATACTGGAATTACCCCAACCATTTAAGAGGTAAATAAACTAGGTATAGTGGTTCATGCATGAGGATCCCATACTCAGCAAATTGAGTTAGGAGGATTTTAACTTCAAGGCCTGTAGAGCTGCCTAAGGAATTCAAGAGTGGCTTAACTACATAGTGAAACCCTGACTTAAACAAAAACCAAAAAAGAAAAAAAGAATAGAAATATTGGTATAATTTTGGTATTACTCCAGCAACAATAACCATGTTTGCTTTTTTGCTTTTTTTTTTTTTTGTCTTTTTTGAGACAGAGTCTCACTATGCAGTTCAGGCTGGCCTTCAGCTCCCTGTGTAGCCCAGGCTGGTCTCCAACTCACAAGGATCCTCGTATCTCAGCCTCCTGGGTGCTGAGATTACAGGTGTGAGCCACCACCATGTTTGCTTTTAATAGCTTTATTGAGATACCTTTCATGCAGTGAATATCCAAGTTTTTTTTTACTACACAAACATCCATGAAGCAGGATGGGTACATTCACAATCACAATCTTGAATTTACCCATCATCCTCCCAAATTTCTTCTTGCCTGTATCTGTCTTCCCATGGACCCTTCTCTGCTACCATCCTAATCTCCAGGGAACCATTGATCTGTTTTCATAGTCTGTCTTCATAGTTTAGTTTGCATTTTTAACAATTTTATATACACGAGGCCAGATGTGATAGCACATGCCTCTACTCTCAGCCCTCCTGGAGAATGAGGCAGAACAAAGACAAATTTAAATCCAGTCTAGGCCACTTAGTGAATTAGTGAGACTCTGTCTCAAAAAATAAGGATGTAGAGATATATCTTGGTACAAAAGCATCAGGTTCAATCCCCAGAACTGTCAAAAAAAATTAAAAAACAAACAAAAACCCAATCAACTAACCAAAAAAAGGATTTTATATAAGTGGAATTATGCGACTTTTTTTTTTTTTGTCTTTTTCCTTTTTATCGGTACCAGGGATCGAACTCACAACTGCCTGCTTGCAAGGCAGGCGCTTATGTTGCTGAGCTAAATCCCCAGCCCCCCCCCCTTTTTTTTTATTAAGATAGGATTTCATTGTATAGGTTAGGATGGCCTTGAATTTACTATGTAGCCCCGGCTGGCCTCTAACTCATGGCAATCCTCCTGCCTCAGTCTTCTAAATGCTGGGATTACATGTGTGCACCACCATGCCTGACTCCTTCTGCTTTCTTTCACTTTGCATTATTTTGAAATTTATCTACATTCTTGAATGTATGAATACTTAAATTTTTATTGCTGTATATTTTTCCATTGCATGTTTTTTAAAAAAAATTATCTATTTTTTGGAGACAGGGTTTTGTTATGTACTTCAGACTGTCCTTGAACTCACTTTGTAGCCCAGGCTGGGCCTCCAACTCATAGTGATTCCCCTGCCTCAGCCTCCAGAGTGCTGGGATTATTGGCATGCACTGCCACACATAGTATAGCATGGTTTTTGAGCTATTTTTAGTTTGGAGTTATTATAAATAAAGCTGCTCTAGATGTTGTCTAGTTACTAGCTGGTTATGTGCTTTCATTTCTCTTGCATAAATACCTTGGTTTGGGCTACGTTATATAGTAGGTAAATATCCAGTTCCTTGGTGGTACTGAGGGTTGAACCCAGGACCCTGCACATTGCACTCTTATCACTAAGTTACATTCCCAGTGGTTTTTTTGTTGTTGTTTTTTGGCCTCCTTTGAAGTCCTGAGGGTTGAACCCATGGCTTTCGCAATGAGCTATATCCCCGGCATTTTTTTAGTTTTTATTTTGAGAGAGGATCTTGCTACATTCCTATATTGCCAAAGCAGGGCTGGAATTTGTAACCTTCCTACCCTAGATTCTCAGAATGCTGGGCTTATAGGTGTGTCACCTTACCTAGCAGCTTTTTACTTTACTTTTTGTTTTGGGTACCAGGGTTTGAACTCACAACCTCACGCTTGCCGGGCAGACACTTATGCCGCTGAGCTAAATCCCCAGCCTAGTTCCTTTTTACTTTTGAGATAGGATTTTGCTATGTAGTTCAGGTTGGTCTCAAAACTTTCAATTTTCCTCTCTCGGTCCCCTGAATAGCTTGGATTACAGGCATGTGCCAGCAGGCCTGGCTACTGTTTTAGGGGTTTTTCTTGTTTTTATGGAAATGGGATCAAACCAAAGGGTGCTCCACCGTTGAGCTATATCAAACTTCAAAACTCCTTTCCCACCGCCTCACACCATTTTTTTTTTTTTTTTTTTTTTTTTGAGACAGAGTCTCGCAATATAGTTCAGGCTGGTCTTGAACTCACTATGTAACCCAGCCTCGCCTTTCCTGCCTTAATATCCCAAATACTGGGGTCACCACTGCTCCTCCTCACTTCCCAACATACTGGGCTTGGAGTGAGACCCGCACTACTATGCACTATCCCTAGCACACGACAGCACAACTGCAGCAACATCTGGCAGACTCATGAGCTGTTCTCGAGATGTGTTTGCATCTGTAAGTGTTCATAATGCAAGTTCACAACTCAAATGTTTATAAATTGAGGACTTACTGTAATTAATTAATTTTGAGGCAGGGTCTCTATGTTGTCCAGGCTGGTGTCCTTTGACCTTCTGGGCTCAGGTGATCCTCCCACCTCAGCCACCCAAAAAAAAGCTCTGGTGCTTTTTTTTTTAAAACTGTGGTAAAACATATATAACATAAAATTTATCATTTACCCATTTAAAAATGTACCGTTCACTGGTGTTAAGTGATGTAATTATTTCCATTATCTATCTCTAAAACTTTTTTCACATGAAAATTTGCACCCATTAAACTGTAACATCTAGTTAGGTATGATGGTGCACACCTGTAATCCTAGCACTTGGGAGGCTGAGGCCAAAGGATCACAATTTTGAGTCTAACTTGTGCTGCGTAAGGAGATCTTGTCTCAAACAAACCAAAGCAAAACACAAAACAGTAACTCTCCATTTACTCCTTCTTCTTACCCTTGACAATTAGGATTTACTTTCTTTTTTTTTTTTATGTTTTCATGTTCAGCCCCCTTTCATTTTTTTTTTAAATTTTATTTAAGGAGAAAAGAAAAAAAAACAGTGAAAGGGTACAAGTCATACAGATTTACAGAAAAATAAAATGAACAGTAGGAAATCACCAGTCAATGGACCACATATTGCCATCTTAGAAACAATTGTTCAAGTCACAAAATTAAAGCTTGTAGAGTGGACATTCCAACAATGATACTGCAAACAGTTCTGTTCAATGATCCAATAAAACTCTGTGATATAATTTTCTATCTTATACACTTAAATATACATGCAGTTATATAGTTTAGAGCACTTTCTTTTCCTCTCTTTTGTACAATGACTATTACACATTCTGGGTTTCATTGCTCCCACGGTTCTCACTGCCTTTTTGGAAGAGAGTAAAACCAAATGTGACATAACAGAACAGAATCGGTCAAGTCAAAAGGGTGGACACAATAGATAATGTAAAAACATAATACAAGATGATCAACAATGGTTACCATAATGCCTCCCGCTATCTCCAATAGAATTGCCCATATCATCAGCTATAATACAATTGAACAAAACAGTAAAGAACAAAACCGACAAAACCAAAACATTGGAGACATTGTAGGTCTTCAAAAGTAGATAAAAGTCAGTGAGAATGAGTGTTATAATGAATCTCATTATCTTCACAGCTGATGCCTAAACTTTCGAACCTGATACTATCCAGCAAAACAGAATAGGGGAACATCAGTCAAAAACAAGATGGTGAGAGTAATACAGGGCTTCAAATCGAGATAATAGAAAGTCAAAGTGGGTTACTATAATATATCCTGCTATTTTTTTCCCTTTAATTAAACGGATAAAAATAAAAAAGTAAATAATGGAGTGGAGATTGAGATAAAAGAGGGCATAACAGCGAAACAGCGCAGATCAAAACATAACCATTTAAGCAGAATAGTGTTTCACCACCAGATAATCCCGACCCAAAAGTAGTTACCATATTGACTCTTTCCTTGAAATCCTTGAGTTTCAACTTCGTATACTGAAGCATTAAGTATATCAAAACAATGTAAAACCGGCTGGGGATTTAGCTCAGCAGCATAAGCGCCTGCCTTGCAAGCAGTTAGTCGTGAGTTCGATCCCTGGTATCGAAAAAGACAAAAAAAAAAAAAAAAAAAAAAAAAAACCCAATGTAAAACCAATTAAGAGAATGACAGCATTACAGAGTATTTAGAATCGACTAACAGAAAATGAACAATGGTTTCTGTATAATCTCCTTGTCTTTAAAAGGTTTTTGCTTATACTATCGTACATAATAAAATCCAATAAGATACAACCTATTTAGACCATTGGAGACAGAAGAACAAAAGCTAGATGAGACTTCAAAACAAGATGGTACTAAATCAGTATTACCTATTAAGATGTCATTTTCTCCAAAATAGCTGTTCCTATCATCCAATCTTCTCTGTCTCATTTCTGTTGAGCTCTTTTTCTGTCAGTAGCTGTCAGTTTGTCTTCTTTATTTTGTTCTCTGCTCCATTCGTTGTGGCCTCCCCGCCACTATTTCTGGGTTCTTTGTATTTTTATTTTTTTAGAATATCCTGCAATACTCTCTGTAGAGTTGATTTGGTGGTTGCAAATTCCCCCAGTTCCTCTTTATCCTGGAAGCACCTTGTTTTTCCATCAATTTCCAGGGACAGTT